ATTTACATGGAAGAGATTATCTACCCTAACAAATGGTCCAAGATATTTGGAGAAATTTCGAAGAAGAAAATGTGAGCTGAATTCGATATTTGGGTGGGAAAGCTTTGAATCTGTGCATCCTAGTCGTTGATTCCATCTTCTTGTTTTTTTTTTTTTTGGTTCTTTTCTCTTTCACAATAAGCTTTTAAAGTTAGTGACTCTAATCAGCCTTGAATAAATATATATTAACTTTCATTTTATTTAATTAAATTATAAATCTTATGTTGCAGGTTTTAATATTAAAATAAGCCACATAATTGACCTGTTAATAAGAAAACGTGGAGTGACCAATAAAATTTGATAAATAAAATTTAATGATTAAATTAAAAAAATTAAAGTATTAGTAAATAAAATAAGAAAGAGACAAAAATTCAGTGAATAAATTTATAATTTACCCTTATATTAAAACATAACTTATAAAAAATCAACTATTGATTTTTAAAAATATTATTTGTTATTGTTTATATCATGATGTGGCAAATAGGTATACGAGATTATGGGGATTTACATTTGACATCCTCGTGAGGATCAGAACTGAACGGACCATACCCTAGGAGTTTCATATATATATATATTCATAACATTTCCACGTGAAAAGACACGTGGACATGGGATCATCAAACTCTTTCGCAATCCATGTGCTACATTAAACACATCTTATTTTTAATATATAAGAATAACATACGAAGAACTATAACAACGCTATTTAAACCTACAGTGCATGACCTTAAATATTTTATTTTTACTATACAAGAGTAAAAATTAATCTTGAGTTAAAACGCAATTAACTCTTATGATGAAAAGTTTAGTCTCCAAAGCCCAGACTATGGGCAGTTTGTACTCTCCAACGAGAATCATTAGGTTCGGCCCTCTGCTAAATCATGAGGTAGCTATTGCAGGAGCTGCTGTATGCCAAACAGAAGCTGCTCGAGAACGGCGACCGATCATAGAATCTCATATCCAAAAGCCTTTATCGATGCTGCTGCCCCTCTATTTTTCCGTATTTCCTTGGAACCATACAGGAGCTGCTTTCTCTAAAGGGAACTTCAATAGATACACATTGCACAATCCGACTAATATACACAAACCCTTTGTTCCCAGGAGAAATTTCATTATTATTTACATTGGGGAAAAAATGAACGAGGTCACCGAGTTCTTCAAGCTCACTACGACGATGACCCCAGAGAATCCTTGCTCCTAGAATATCCATTTCTCATATGTCCCCTCCTCATAGTAACCATTTTCGTATGTAAATTCGAAAACCCATTTTCATTAGCTAGATAAGCTACTACTCGCAGCCCTCTCCAAGGTACCTTCGACTGTTTGAGAACAAGACAGTGCACTGTCCATGCAACCAGATTCAAATCTTCGCCTCCTTTCAACTTTATCCGCAACCCTTTCGTTGAACTCTTCATCGGTGCAGGCCAACATGTAACGAAGCTTGAAGTTAACCCGATTCTCCACCATGATTTTGTGCCTTGGAATTATTCGCTCTTCAAGAGAATAGCTGGAGAACCTGCTTAACTTTCACTATGTTAAAACCCTAAATAACCACAGCCGAGGGAGTGAAAAAGAAGACTCAGATCAAGTGAAGAGTAATGTCTAAAGCCCGTAGAGATGAAAGCATGGATGTATATTTTCCGGGTTAAGAAATAATAAATTCGATAGATTACTCAAGAAATAACCATTTCCAAGTTTAGATGAAAACAGGGATGCATATTCTCCTGGTTAAGAAATAATAAATTCGATAAATAACACTTTCCAAGTCCCATTAGGATTCAAGAACCTCTTGGCTCATCTCCCAGGACCTGGCTCTCAACAATCATAATTTTGCCTTGATCGTAACCATTTTCAATGAAATAGATAAACATCATTGCTTACCTTGGAAACTCGATCAAATCCTGCAAGGGACGGACCATTGTTCTTCGTAAATATCGATACTTGGGATAGAGAAGATCTACTTTATATCGAAGAAGTTTAGGGAAATCAGCAATCATCTCACCCAGCTGTCTAACTCGTATGCCCAGCGAAAGAAAATATTTTACATTAACATCGAGGGTTTTTGTTATACTGCAACCAAATAGCTCTGGTCCCAAAGCTACAACCTTTCCGATATCCTTCTCGGCGACTCCAGCTTTGGTCATCAAAAATATAACCTGTATGATATTCCAATGTTGCCAATAAGATTATATTAGATCAGCTTAAAATCTTAAACAACACAGATGGTAGACTACCAACATAAATAACACACTAATGGTAATACCAAAAGCAGAACAATATATAACCAGAACACATCCAATTTAATACCTGATTGAATAATTTCATCCCACTAAAAAGGTAAATTTATTAAAAATAAAAATAAACCGAAAGAGAACTACTTCAAACTTTTAGATGATCCACAAAAATCAAAATGTAACAATGAAAACCGCTATTAAAGAGTAAATCAAAAGAAAAAGAACAAACCAGTGGTTGAATTTTCTTGTGCAGGCTGTATGTTAGTAGGGGAGGGAACTTAACAAGCATGTTACCAATGGCATCCTCTCTGACACCAAGGTCCCGGAAAAATTGTACCTGAAAAAGCGAAGACCAAACCAGTGCCAATATCAACATCATACAGCATAATATCACAACAATTCAATGTAGCAGATTTCAGGTTCATGTGAGCTGAAGCATCATCTTCGTGACATATAATCCTATTATCTAAATATACACAAGAAAAATTGAAGTGGAGGATCAGAAAGGGAAAATATAAGATAAACGAAACGCGAAAGACAACATTACGTAATTAAGATCACATTTAGGAAGTAAAGCGACAACTATAACCTTTGGTGCAATTGTAGTCTCAAAATCAAAACAGAAAATCATTGGCTTAATGGTAAGCATTCTCCTCATTCCATCTCGGGTAATTCCAAGGTAATATAAGTACTTAACAAGCGGCTTCCATCTTTCTTCAATGCTACAACCCATCAACTGTGGCCTGAATGCTAGTAATTTCCCAACATGTTCGGTACTGAGGCCAAACTCTTTCAGATAATTAACCTGGATGAACAACAGCAGCATATTAACTTAAATCATTGAACACACTAAAAAATAGATAAAAGGAAACCCCATAGCATTGTGATTCATGTGCCGTGTTAGAGGAGCAAGGAAATTAGACAGCTTACTTTTTCATTCATCTCTTCAAGAGTGAAGTAGCCAAGTACGCCTGGATAATCAAATACCATTGTCCCAAAATCATTCTCATTCATACCCATAGTCAAGTAAAACTCAACACGAGTTTTCACTTCCTCCATCCTATAGGACAACAACCTCGGACATCGGCTAATAACAAAACCAATCCAATCCCTCCTAACTCCATGGCTCTCCAAATACTCAACGATCTCACCAAATTCTTCGAATCTACGTTGCAAAATATCATCCCCAGATTTCAAAAGCGTTGCCCCTATAAACTCTCCTTTCACATGAATCGTCTTCAACCACTCAACAAGCCGTCTTATAGAGTAAAGATTTCCTTTAGACATGCATATCAGCTTAGCAATTTTGGGGTATGAGAGGTTATTGTGTTTCAGCCACCTATACAATTAATCAATCAGAAATAATTTCATATACAATTAATCAATCAGAAATAATTTCTACTTCTTTGAAATAATACTGTTACTAATATCAGCAATTAAAAGCGAATGACAAAAGCAATGACTAACCTTATAAGGGGAACAACATTGGAGTCATCAATAACAACCTTAGCACGTAAATTAAAAGTCGAATCTTTAAACTCAGGCAACCTTTTCAAGGCAGCCGCTTCAATCATCACGTTATCAATAAACTCCGACAGTCTATTAACCATATTCGTCGAATAAGTAATCCCAAACTTTCCTTTCTTCGTTGCTCCTTTAAAAACCTCTGCTGTTACCTTTCTTCTAATCTCAAGCGCCCGCCTTATCATCACTTCCTCATCCTCCTCGTCGTTTTCTGGGCGTTGGGTGTCGTTTTGGGTTTGGAGTACGGATTGGAGAGAAGGGAGGGAATTTGAGTAAATGGAGCCTGGGAATTGCGGGGGGCGTTTGGTGACGAGGGACATTTCTAGGATGTTTTGTTTTTCTTGAGGTGGAAGTGTAAGTTGTGGGGTTTGGGGATTATCTCCGGTGGTTTGCGAGGAATCTCGATGCTGGCGGTGCTCATTTTCGTTTCTATGGGGTGTATTCTCTGATTTGTTGTTGGTGGTGGCCGGTTGGCGGAGGAGGGAGGTGGTTTTTGAGTTATGAATACGGAGGACGGGTTCAGGTGCTTGAGTATTGGGATGATTAAGGTTACGGTGGAGGGAGGAGGAGACGGTGGTGGAATGAGGGTAACGGTGGCTATGAAGGTGGAGGCATGGCGGAGGAGAGTAAGAAAGCATTTTTGGTTATGGTGGGAATTACAAATGGATAAAGTAGCAATAAGCTTTAATAGTTTCACTACACTTATAAATTAGTTTTTATTAAAAATAGAAGCAAGTTGCCAGCTTGGTTCCATGGTCTAGTGGTCAGGACATTGGACTCTGAATCCAGTAACCCGAGTTCAAATCTCGGTGGAACCTTTCATTTTTTTACTAATTTCTTTTCATTTAGAAAGTGATCTAATTATTGTTTTAGGTCCCTTTATTATACTCTATTTTGAGATTTAATCCTTCGATTTTATTATACTCTATTTATAGGGGATAGTATCACATGAAGTTCTTACATCTCAACAAAACGTCCACTATGGGAAAAATATCATTTCCCTTTTTGTTTTATTTATGTCGTTCGGATAATATCATTAAATCCGTGTGAATTTATTAAGAAAATTTTCCACGTACTGATAGATGTTAGCCTTAAGTGTATCATATTGAATATGTTTAGAGATGACTGATTTATAAAATTTTAGGGACTAAAATAAAAATCAATGTAATTTCTTCTCTTGATTTTCATGTAATTTTTCTTTTTTACTGAACGGCTGAAAAACTGATAAGAATGATACAATTTACATTTCACAAAAGGACCACAAACACAAGATCAAATCACATAAAAAATTGTAGCTTGTTTTTACCCTGAAACAAGCTGTCAAACAAATATGAACCAGCAATTGTCAATGGCACCCCTTTCACTGTCCGCGGCACCAACTCTAAGCATCTTAAGAAGATTAGTGCATCATCTGAGCTGTTCCGATTCAAACCAAAATATCGCCTTGGAAATCCTATTTACCTATGGCAAGCTCCACCAGGTGCTCAACCGGAGCAGGCACTCGAATGGGAAGCCTGCTGTCTTATTAAGAAAGAATTGTATGAACAAATCTAACCTCTCTGCTAGTTGCGATCCTGTCGTTCTATATCCCGTTGTGGTGCCGGTGGCTCGGGGAATATCTCCCTTGAATGCCGCCTGCGTGAGGATGAATGGTCACCTCCACCATTCTGAGTGCTGCTCTGCGAACCCGTTGTTCCTGAGTGTTTGAAACTATTTCCCCCTTCGGCTCTAGTAGTGCAGGCTGCAGGATTAGCGGCTACGTCCGAAGAGCTTTGACGCCAGCTACCAAAGAAAGAAGCATTCCAAGATCCTCTCGAGGAGGTTGTTCTAAGCCTTGCTGAACTTGAAGTATCTTCTCTAACCACCCTCAAAGGATTTTCCAAAGCTTTTAGAATATATCTCATCGGCGGCCGTCTTGAAGGTTTCGAATTAAGACAAGACCTCGCAACAATGGCCATGGCCCATACTTCCTCCAATAGATCATCGTCCACAAGAAGCGACGGGTCTAGAATTTTCGTCACGAGTTCCTTTTCATATATACTGATGCATAGTAGTGTTTGTTCTAACCATTCCTTCATCTGGGTATCACTCGATACACCGATGTGCATCTTACCGGTTACCAACCCAAGTAAAACTTTCCCAAAGCAGTAAACATCGTAGGCACATATTGCTGTAGATGAACCTGCCCGTTTTACAAATAAAAAGGAATTTTCAGAAAAGCTTGCAGATCAGATAAAAAAAAGTTTTAATGTCAATTCTATGCTCTCAAGCAGTCGAGCTTTGCTCATATTTCGGAAATCACCCTGGGAGGTAAGACCAGGCGAATTTATGAACATTCACTGGCCCGATCTAATAAAAGTTGGGATGGAAGAAGGAAAGAGTAGTTGATTTTTCAGGTACAATGATAGCCGGACATGAACCTTGAATGAAAAATGGTTACGGCCGAATTCATGCAATGAACATGTTGGAGCTAAAGTGCATCATTCGATAAATCAACAAATAAACTGCTTGAGAAAACGATTGGGATCTAAATATTCGAGAAACTTTGCAAGCGGAACGTGCACATACCTAAAGAACCTTGTTCAGATGACCTGCGAGCAACAAAGAATAAAACCGTATTACAACCATTATCGATAAAACAAGCATAAAAGGCATGAAATACGACTCAAATATTTTGTTCGGAACAGCAATAAAATCCATAAAATGAAAATGAAGACAAAAAAAAATGCTATTTGCTAGCTACTACTTGATGCATATGGCATTGCTACAGCTCTAAACATCTAAATTCTTCGCATGTATTGTAGATTCCCATCAAAAGATTGTTTAGTAAAATGACAGAACCCTACTGCATCAGACATTAAAACCTAGTCTTTGGTTTATCCCTCTAGTCAAGGGAACATGTTTGCATCCAGGAGAAATGCGCAGGAGACAAGAATGAAGCAAATCTCGGAACCGAGCAAATAAGAACTATGGGTGGAGTTAAGTGTCTAATAGCTCATTCATAAGACCGTGTACTATTAGTCCGTTGTTTCTAGCTAAAACATAAAACATCTTAGAAATACTGCAAATCCAGTGTTATTCGTCAATGTGACAGAAACTGGGGGGGGGGGGGGGAAGAAAAAAGCGATATATCACAATCAGCATGCAAGAACTTGTTCACCAAACATCTTATGTGAGCTAAAATGTTCATCTATGTATATAATTCACAATCCGAAAACATCTAAATAGATGACATTCTACAGAATACTCACTGTGGCAACCGCAGTAATCTCGTGATCCTACTTTGATGACCATCTTCATGAGCGCAGACCTCGGTCAGGCTCCCCAGTCTTACTTCAAATTTATCATCAAGTAGTATACTGGTGGCTTGAACATCTCTTCAAAGATAAAAAGAGAACATGTAACTGCGAGTTTTTTCAGTTTCTCGATATTCCAGTTCATGAAGAAATTATGACATGCAGGAGAAAAAGCATCATGCAGCTGAAGGCAATTTAAGCATAAAACAAGAAGCGGCAAAAAAAATACCTGTGGACAAGGGACGGTGTGCATTCATGATGCAGATAAGATAGGCCTTCCGCTGCTCCTATAGCAATTTTCAATCTCGTTATCCAATCTAATGACTGCAAACTATCATCTTCTGAATTGTTTTTCCTGTACAAGGAACTTGACAAGTCCCCATTTGGCATATATTTATAAACCAATAATTTTTCGTTCTCACTCTCTAAACAATGTCCCAATAAGGGAACAATTCGTGGATGTGAAACTTTACTAAAGAACTCCAATTCCGAAAGGTACGCTTCCTTTTTGATAGACTGCAAATCAATCCTTTTAATGACGACAGGAAGCCCGCCTTCTAAGGTACCCCTGAAGAGATCACCAGAATGGCCATGCTTGATGAGGTTTGCATCATTAAAATCACCAGTGGCTTCAAGAAGCTGCTGGAAGGTAAATAAATCACCTAGACTCGAAAAATTAATTTCTACTCCGGGTGAAGGAGGTGTTTCTCTATCAGCAACTGCTCCCACGTCAATCCCTCTATGATTCCTTGTGCTCCTCCTTTTACAGAGACATAGGACCAGAAATAGGAACAGGATTAGTAAAGCAACAAGCCCAGCTCCTCCTAAGACTGCAGCCAATATGATTGTCCTTCTGTTGCTGCCTCCTCTTTCGGGTGCAGGTGGTTCTGTGGAATTTGGGCGCCCAAAATTATCAAAACTCAGGCCCCTCTCGGCATAGAATGATGCACACTGCGTCAAAGTCCTCTGTCTTGACACATTTTGGAGACAGTTAGTACTAAGAACTGCATTGTCCTGCACATAGTCCGGAACTGTGCCTTCAAAATAGTTTCCAGACAAGTCAGTAAAGTTAAACCTTCGAAGCACTGTGGTAAGACCTCCATAAAACTTGTTCTGGGAAATGTTAAGTATGGCAGAAGTGGCATTATCATTCAAAGTAGAATTAGGAAGCTGCCCTGTGAAATTATTGTGAGAGATATCCAGCAGGTTCAACTCAGGTATTGACCATAATACTTCAGGAATGTTGCCATTGAAACTATTGTTCTTCAGAACTATAACCCGCAACTGACTTGGGGGAGGGAACAACCCGACCGGCAGTGCCCCTCTGAGACCATTATTCCCGAAGACCATTCTCCGCAAATTCCTTAGCCTTCTAAGATCTAGTGGCACAGACCCTGACAAACCATTGCTGCTGAGATCAAGGTCAACCAAGCTATCAAGATCCCCGAGTTGCGCAGGTATTGAAGACGTTAAACGATTGCTCGAAAGATTCAAACTTTGTAGCATTGAAAGGGATCCAACGCCAGGAGGAATTGACCCCGTTAAATTATTCGAGGCAATGTCAAGACCTGTTAAATTCCTTAGTGAAAAAAGTGATGATGGAATAGATCCAGTAAGCGAATTCTTCGAAAGATCAAGAACTAAAAGGCTTAACAATCCACCCAAAGTCGAAGGAATCCACCCGGTCAGCCTATTATCCGACAAATACAGACTAGTTAAATTAGTCAAATTACTAATACTCAAAGGTATAACACCCGAGACATTACAAGACCTGAGATCCAACACTTGCAATGTCAACAACCTTTGGCCAAACCAATCCGGGATAGAACCAGGGAGCAAGAATTTAGAGGCATTAAACGAAACCAGACGCGTAAAATTCGCAAGCGAATCGACGGCAAACCGCGGGTTTTGTCTGCCAAGCCTTGTTCTTCTAAACCCAGAAATGTTAATGGAAGTAACACTGCCATTTTCACATCTTATACCGTTCCAACTGGTACAAGGGTCAACTTTTCTAGGCCAATCTCTGCTTCTAAGACCCAAAGAGGATCTGAGTTCAAACAAAGCTGCGAACTCGATGCCTGAACTCAGCCGCGGCTGCTGCACTTGTTGCTCAAATGTAAACTCAAATAACAGCAACAACAACAAGATATATACTCCTATGCTACGCTGATCCACCATCGCTCATGGAGGTCTAACTCTAAACCCAATCATCAAAACATTCTATTTTCTCTCTCTCTCCCCCTTTCTCTCTACTCTTAATACATGTATCTTTTTACATGTAATGAAAATCTGATCCCCAAAAAACCCCACTTTAGAAGGAACAAAAATAAAAAATCTACCTTCTTTCTCTTTTGAAGACCAAAAAGAATTGTCCGAAAAAGCTCGTACCTTGATGCTCCAAAGCTCTAATTTAAAAAAAAAAAAAAAACTTCAAAACTGTTGGTAACCAATCTGTATGAACTTCTATTCTCCTCCTTGGCTGTCCCTTTTTCTCTCTCTAAATCCTTCAGTTTCTTCAGTTGACAAAATGGAGTATGAGAGATAAAATTAAACATGAAAAAAAGAGAAAAATAAATAAAAAGTTGCAGCAGTAAATGAAAAGGCACTAATCTTGGTTTAATTAATCAACAATTCTATAATGATGGGAGGAGGAGGCCGGTCAAATACTTAAGTGATGCACTTTTCACTCCGTCTCTTCCCCTCCTGTGGCTTATTTAGAGAAATAAGAAAAATAAGGATCTTCAAAATTAATTGATGCAATAAATTATTTTAAGTTAATAATCTTCTTAAATAAATTAAGGCGATTATATATTATTATATGTTGAATTTTTTTTATCTATTGATAATATATATATATATATTGCAAATGTTGTTATTCAAATTGGAATCTTTCAAAAAAAATCTTCTACTACTATTCAATGGGTTCAAATTGTAATTGTTTTTCCAGTAAATTCTAAATTTAATTTTAATTCTGTCTTGAACTCATGATCTATTTTAAAATAATCCATTTTTTAAATCAGTTTTGAGATTTTTATTCTCTTTTTTCAATTTCCTTTTTATTTCCTTAAAAAGGCATTTCCCTGTTAAAAAAGACTTAATTGAGGTAAAAAAAAAAAGGCATATTAACGTGCATGAAGCAGTTGGGTAAAATTCAGACCGGTGGCGCCGTGGTTATAATCTGAAAACAGAGACAGGTACCGTTTCCCAGTTTTTGTCTGAACTCCGGCTAGCCAGCTAAGAAAAGCTTTAGAAAGAGAAAAACAAAACTTACTGCACAGCCCTATAATTTACCTGCCTTTATTTCATTGTTTTGAGGGGTTTCTCATGTTTATTTTACTTTTTATATATTTAGTTAATGTTGTTTTGCTTTTTGGGTGACTGACACTGTTATTTATGGAAAGTTACAGTACGAGTGTACTGCTTGATCGGAGGGGTAGATATTAATAACTTAATCCTGATTTTAACATAATATAATTTTACTTGATTTTAATGAAAATATAATTTAGTCTAAAAGAATTAATAAAAAAATATCTAAATTATAATTTTTTTTTCATTTAGATGTATAAACTTTATTTTGATCAATATAAGTACATAACATTATAAATATTATCATTTTAATTGATTTGGTCATGATCATTAAAAATATCCTTATTTTGAGGGTAATGCCGTAATGGCGTTTTATGCATATTCAAACTCTTTCTTTGATTCCCTTGCACGTTTCAAATTTATAATATTTATAAGTGTTAGCATTGGATCTGAATTCAATTTTTTTGATCGACATGAGAGAGTGAATGTGATCAACTAATAATATTTTTTCCTAAAAACGAGCTTTTGAATAATTCTAAACATCAAGAGATAATAGGTATAGAACAGCGATTGATATCAGTAATTTAATAAGACATTCGGTCAAAATTATCACCAGTCCCCGTAATTTAGTTAAATTTGAGATTTAATCCCCACACTTACAAAAGTTAAAAGATAATATCTCTTATTTTGTCCATTTAAAAGTTCAGTACAATTACTAACACCGTCAACATCTATTAAAACTTGTTTTCTATTGTCATGATAATTTGATTGAATAATTGGTAATATGTGTCGAAGACATATTTTACCTATGTACGAGCAAAATCACCTTACGAATGCGATTCGTAAAAACTAAAAGACCAACGTGATAAGAGGAGTCGAATAAAATAACTAAATCAAGCTTCCTTTTTTGAATAAAACGATAAAGAGAACTTAATTTTCAACTCTTTTAAATGGGAAGATGATATCTTAAACTATGTCAAGATACAGGACTAATACCATAATTTGACCACACTTTCTTATCGAAAAGGTTTTGTCCAAACTTTTTTCTAATTTTCACAAGTAACATTGACATTCAGTTATATGTTAATTTATTTATATAAAAATATTAACTTTAAGGCCACAAAATCAAACTCAGTGCAGAAAATGTCAGCTTTTGAAACTCAGATTTGATAAATCCACTGTGCAACTTCGTGCCTACCTTTTCGATTCATTGAATCCTTAACAAGTTTTTTTTATTATCATTATTTAAAAGAAAAAACAATAGCATGGGATGTACACTATATATATATATATATGTCAATTTGTGGTTTGTTTAGGTAAATAATGTAAAAAAATAAAGAAATAAAACATTTTAGAGTGTAATAATATTAATGACTTTTTGATAAAACTATCTTGTGATAAAATAAATTAAAATTTTGAATATATAAATTAGTAACATCAGAAAATAACTTTAATTACTATTATTTATAATATTACGACTTTCTAAATAATTTTCCTATTTTTCTATTTCTTTCTTTTTGCACTGTTTGTCTAAATAAACTTCACCTTTTGTTATTAATAAAAAATAAAGTTCCTTCCTTGACTATGATTATAGAGTGTTGCTTTGTTGAGTACTTTGACTATTGAAAGCTATAAAATGGTCCCTCAATTATAGGGTGTTGCTTTGTTAAGTCATCCGACTGTTAAAAGTTATAAAATTGTCATTTGACTATTCATATGTTTTAAACTTGTCATTTTTCATTTAAAAAGTGGACAGTCATCTGAGATGGATATCAACTTATTGACTCAGATATGTTAAAATCTTATCATAAAATCATTCTAACTATTTTTTATGGATCGAATCTCCATTTACATTATGTCTTCGAGATAATGCTTAAAACATTATGATGGCGAGTTAGTGCTTGATAGCAACGATAATGCCAATATACATTATTAAAATATGATTTTATCATATGGCAATCAATAGATTAACGTTTTGCTCATACGGACATCAAATTTTTAACGAAAGAGGGCGACTTTAGAACATATAATAGCGGAGTGATTATTTTGTAACTTTTAATAGTCATGAAACTCAACAAAACAACATCCTATAATCTAAAGATAATTTTGTAACTTTTAATAGTTATAGTACTCAATAAATTAACACCTATAGTAGGAGGACTATTTGTATACTTTACCCAAAATAAAAATAAAAGACAATACTCAATTAACAAAATAAGAGGACAGGGAAATGGCTGCCTCTTATTCAGGTCCCCTGCTTAGTATCTTTGACCAAACTATAATAATGTTCCATCAATGTCGACCCCCAAAACAAATGTAACCTCAACCCGATGCATTTTTAAGACAATACCCGATTTCTCCCTTGCGGATTTAATTTTGCTTCATACTATAACTTTATTATATGTAGTGTTTTTTCTATTAACTATTAGAATTCGAAATTCATCAAGTGGCTTCAATGATAAAAAAAATATTTTTCTCTTTATAAGTTCTGAGTTCGAGTAACTACGTCTAGAGGGAGTGTATACATGGACGAAACTTCACAGGAGCCGAGAGAAGCCTGGGCCCTCACCAATTTTTTTAAAGTATTAATTAATATTGAAATATATATATATTTAAAAAAATAAATAAAGAAAATTTTACTCGACCCCCTCAATTAAAAAATATATTTATGAAAAATAAAAAAATATTTTAACCACCACCTTAATAAATTCTTAGTTCCACCCCTGTATGTGTACTTGCCAATTGATTCAGAAAGCTCATAAAATATATTATTTTATAATCATCTCATACATTAAACTTTATATATTTTGATGATACATATCACACAACAGATGCAACATGAGACGAGTATACAAGTATGTTAAACATGAACTTAACATTAAAGATTTAAGACAACAACACATGTATGTGAACGAGTATGCAAGTATGTTAAGCATAAACATAATACGATACATTTGATATAGGGTAGCTGCGCCGCCCTCACCTCAATGCTTCACCATGGTTGCTCAAGTTTTAGCAGCAGCAACATATCCTACGCTGAAATACTGCGGCCGTAGCTGCGTGTATTTTTATTGATTATCATTAAGTTATTGTCGACATCCATAAAAGTTTTAAGGAAAAAGTTGCTATCAATGGTCTCTTAGATATGTTTGAAAACTAAATAACCAAGGACTAAAAGACGGTAATAAATATAATTTTAAAAAGTATTTGCACATATAAACTAAAGAAAATGGACGTTTAAAATACATTTAATAAAGTTTTTGTAATTTAAAAAAATATTACGTTTGAACGACCTTAACAGTAAAAAAAATTATTTAAAAGATTCGAATTTAAACAATTGTGTCTGTAAGTATAATTATTATCAATAATTAAATAATATTACATTATAATTATATCTTACTATTCAAAAGAAATTAAAACCTTCTTAAATAATTTAAGATTTAATAATGATTAGAATTTGAAAATGACATGGATATTTAGAGACGTATTGGACGTTGACCGATTCCTCCCTGCTTTACTTGTCTATCTTAAAGACGTTAAACTAACAGCTTGATTCTAGTGAATCTATAATAATTCAAATGGTCAATATTTAACAAAAACAACTATAATAAGTTTGAAACAACAATAATCATTAAATCATAGTCGGCCCACGAACCGCCCACTATAGTTGCTGTCGGTCTATTGTGATGTTTTTATTTTTATTTTATTATTATGTTTCAATCTAATATGGACTTTTGCTTTCGAAAATTATTTCCCAAAATATGATCATTCTAATATTATTTACTGGAATAAGTTTTTCTGAGGTGAACGTGGATTGGATTTCTTTCATGCTGTTATTCACTTAATTTTTCGAGAAATAATGTTTTTAATATTTATGAGAAGTTAATTTGAATTCGATGTATATAGAGTATTAATTTTATATAATAAATTATCTGTCAAAAAATTATTAGGACGTGAAATATAATTATATAAAAATAAACATAAATTAAATACATAATTAATAAATATTTAAAAAATTAGTAATTCAAAAGGCAGTATATGTTACTAAACATACTTTTTAAAAAAAGTTATTACATTAATCGGACCAAACATAATTTAAAATGTGTGTGGATGGCAACGAGAACGTGTCCGCTAATGAACAATGGATATATTTAAGGGAGTACGAAGAAAGCAGAGTTGTTTCCTTTTATATTGCCATTCGGATTTATAAATTAGAAATTATGAGATATTATTGGAATTGGGTATCATTTGAATACAGCACACAACTTATGATCAATTGCCCATTGATGGCAGGGGAGAAACAAATCTCACTTGCTCGTTAAAAGATTTCAAATTTTGATTTTCTTTTTTTGATGGTTTTTATATGATTAATTCGGACAGACTTACATCTTAAATCTAACTTTAGTGAGTGAATCTCTCAACAGAGATTTTCTACATACACAAAGCATCGAATTCGAGATCTATTTATAACTTAAACCAATCCACAATAACCATTGACAATACACACTTTGCAAACACAGAGTAATATATATTAAGAATATTTTTTAACCATTGACAACACACACTTCACATACGCAACTGTTCAATATTGATTTTAACCATTGTGACCACTAAATAGGCTCCTACTTTAATAATTTTTAAAAATGGTAGATAGGGAGAGTTGGACACGATGGCGAACCTTTGCAGTTACTCTAAGTCAGGGAGTCTTGGAGTAAAAATAAACCCAGCGGAAACAATAATGTGTGTATGATTGATTAATAGGCCATAGCAATGGTGAGAAACAGAAAGGAGGGCTAAACTTAGGCCCAACCCAATTTAAATGAATAGCTTGCCCACAAGTCCAAATGTTTTTCATTTGTTTATTTATTTTTACAATACAACTAAAATATGTCTCTCTAAGAATTAATTAATTTTCCAATAAATATTGTAAAAACTACTCATATGTGTTTATTTTTCTATATATTTTATTGAATGTATTTTGAATATTGATTTTTACTTAGTCCTTTTTAGTATTTGTTGTGATTTAATGATAATATATGTTATATTTCTTGTTTTAATAAATCCGTATACATCACATAGATAGTGTTATTTGAATCTGGATTATCTCAGAAAAACATATCATTATTTGTCACTGTAATTACTCTGTGGATTATAAATTTTACTTAAAATATATATGCGAGATAAAACAAAGCAATTCATATTTATGTATTCAATTAATAACCAATTAGTATACTAAGATGAGGAAATGTTAGAGGTTTTAATGTCATGGATAAAATAAATTAAGTTAAAAAGTTCACTTTATAATCAATTTTTATAATATTTAATTTAATTAATTAATGAATATCGACAATTAAACAAAAAATATATTCATGTATTAATACAGAGATGAACAATTTCAACTTGATTTGAAATAATATTTAAATTAAATTATTTGAATGATTCAATTATTAATGTGTAACTTAATGTAAATAATTCAAATCAAATGGTGTATTTTATTTAAAGAGCCGTCCTAAAAACGCCACAACATTTGGTGACAAGTAGAGGCAATCAGCCTGTGAGAGATATTTTTGTACAGAAGGAGATATTTTTGAATGCAGCAACTCAGAAATCACGTGACTGTGGGCCTCATATCTGACTCGGTCACCACTTAACTAACCATAGTTTATTTTTATTACTTCCCCCAATCCTAGTTTTTAACCATGGTTAAACTAGCCGTAATTCGCGGCATCCAGATCCAGTTAACCCTAATTTCGACCCTCCCACTCTCCCTATAAAATAATGGTTTAGGCCTCAGGATTTTAATTCATATCTGCTTTTCACAAAATATCTGACCTTTCTCTTTGAATATTTTCTCTCATGGCCGCTGCTGATGTTGAGTTCCGGTGCTTTGTCGGAGGGCTCGCATGGGCCACCGATGACCGGGCCCTCGAAGAAGCCTTCAGTACCTTCGGTGAAATCGTCGATTCGAAGGTCCGTTTGTTGCTGAGATTGGACTCCAGATCTGACTCGATCCGACCCGATCTGGGCTTTCATGTCTTCGATCTGTGATCCTTGATCTGTTCTTTTGTTACTGCTACTTGTTACTTGTTACTAGATACTCTTCTTGTTACTCTTCTCTTTTATTTTTCTCATCGGTACGTTCTTTCTTCATCGCCTTGGGCCGAAGATCGATCGATTCTAACAAGTGCATTTTTTTCATTTCTATTTGTGATGTTGTCCATTTAATTGGTTATATGTTTGATTTTTTATTAGATCGTTAATGATCGTGAGACTGGAAGATCAAGAGGCTTTGGATTCGTTACTTTCCGTGATGAGAAATCAATGAAGGATGCTATCGAAGGAATGAACGGTCAAAATCTTGACGGAAGGAATATCACCGTCAATGAAGCCCAGTCCCGTAAAAGCGGAGGTGGTGGTGGTTTTGGAGGTGGAAACGGTGGATATAACCGTGGTGGCGGTGGATATGGTGGTCGCCAAGGAGGATATGGTGGAGGTGGACGCCGAGAAGGTGGATATGGAAACGGAGGAGGCGGATACGGTGGTGGACGCCGTGAAGGAGGATACGGTGACGGTGGTTCCCGTTACTCAAGAGGTGGTGGTGACTCGGAAAGCAACTGGAGGTCTTAAGTATTGGGGTTTAAGTTGGGCTTGGGCCTTGGAGTAGAAATGGAATAAGTAATGATTGTTAGTGTTATGGTTTGATGGTGTTTGTATGCTTCTTTGTTGAAGTTCTGGGTGGGTTGGTTTCTCTTTACCTGTTTTGACCGATGCATCTGCTTATCTGTCGTTTATCCCTTGAAACATTAGAATGGAATTAGTACAATTTCTTCTTTGCATTTCACTTCTGTGCTTATTAATCTCGCTGTCATATAAATAATATCCACTTGAAATCATTTGCAAAACCTAATTATCTTTTTAATTCCGCTCTCTTGTGTATGTGCAATATCGTTAAACCTTTGCCAAAGCATTCAAGGAATCAATGTCTGATACTATCAGCTAAGATCATAAGAACCTTTTGAGATCTCACTATCAATACTCCTCTTCAATCATGATTAAAACGAGAATTCTTTCCATTTTTTTCACTTCAATATTCTCTCATTATGCCTTCTTCATCTTTGTCAAAAAAATTTGGTGAAGTCGTATCCTCATTGACTATTGTTACTGCCTTTCTAAATTACGAAACATAAGTTGTCTGCAAAGATAAATTTATTTCCTTTAATAAATTCAAATTAATCTAATCTGATCATCTTTAGTTCTCTAACACACTAGAATATGTATTATTGTCAATGTTTATAGTGATTTTTTATTTGTTGACTATGTAAAACGATTTGGACATGAATTATTTCTTTTACATATTTTGGTAAAAATTAGACACAATATAACATTTCCTTTTTTGCATATTCTGCCCTATTAGCCTGTATACCTTTAGTTTCCCTCTAGACTTCCCCACCTAAGAGGTTCCCTTCAGTTTTCAAATGCAAAATTCAAGTCGTATTTATTTGTTCAAGTTATAGTTTTACTTCTATTAAAAAATATAATTTTACAATTTATACTAATTGAAAACTTCACATTTTTGGGTACCAAGGCCCCTGGCTGTTGCCTAGCGCCGTCCCTGCATGTCAACATGATTAATCAAGAGGGCATTTTTAAGGGAAAAAAAGCGATGTCAGAGTAAAAGTAAAGGATTAAACCAGAATTAATGGCACAAAAGAAATGATGTTTTGTTCTTTTGCGGCTGATGCAAATATGCAATATCTTAGTGGACTCTTTCCGAGTTTTAGTTATCCCTCGAGTATAAAGTTGCAGATTCCCGGGTCTGTTGTATTACTCTCTTTAACTCATAAAGAAGAGGCCATCAGAATCCTGCATTAATACTTGTTAAATTAATCAAAAACATAATATTATGCTCCAAATTCAAAAGAAGAGATTAGGTTGAATGATAATGATTCCATATATGCATGGGTAATTTTCAACCAATCATCACATGCAGAAGAACTATTAGCAATTTAGCATCCATGAATATTCCTGCAACTTGACAATCTTGATTAGTTTGTTCTATGGTATACCCTATTCTTATCTACAACAAATGGGTTAACGATATACGATTCTCTGGTTAGCGGTAAAATTACTGTATGTGTCCTTGTACTGTAGCAACCTAATTCTTTAGCCTATATGATACTAAATGGACTACTTGCAGAGGGGGTAGGACCCTAATAGGTTGGGGCGAACTCTAGCTCATCAACTTGCACAGCTTCAAAACTCATGGTGTGTTGTTATCCCACCGTCCTCTTGAATTCTGATGCTTTGTGGATTTGACTTGTTATTCCAAACCAGATATTTAAATCGATCCCCAGAATTGTTGTATCGTTTCCTGATTTTGAGTTTATATTCCGAGTGAAAGAGATTAGGTTGATTAATCAAAAACGATATTACTTTCACAGTCGTCATTTCATTTTATGATACGAACTACAAATAATGCTCAAGTTACCTGCAGTTTTCCAAAGGAAGAGTCCCCTTTTGCACCTTAGGCAACTGCCCCACCCGCTCCTCTCTCTCAGTCCATCCCTGAACACTTCCCTTAATCACTAGGACGCTTAATAGGTTTACCTTAGCAGATTACTTGATATAGTTATTTGGAGATATTTAACAAATGGTGGCTCGGGCCAACAAAAGATTCTTTGAAATTATAGCAATTTGGTTGAGCCTGCCTAAGATGGAAGTCAGTGAATGAATCTAGATCCTCTTCATTGGAGGTACAAAGATATGAACTGATTCTCTTGCATTTCTTATTCTTCCTCCAAAAATTTATGTGGTTCCAAAGGAGACAAATCACTAAAATTCTACAAATTCTCAATGCTAGATTTCTACGCCAACTGATATCATATACCCCACCACTGCCTATAAAAGAGCAGCCATTCCCAACTCATTTGCTCGTATCAGCCCTTAGGTTGCAGTGCTATTTCATCACTGATATACAAAAAGAGGGGGGAAATGGCATCGACCTCAATGTCCTCCCGTGGGTGTGGTTCATGGACAGCCAAGCAAAACAAAGACTTCGAAAGGGCTTTGGCTGTTTATGACAAGGACACCCCCGACCGTTGGTACAACGTTGCCAAGGCTGTCGGAGGCAAAACTGCCGACGAAGTTAAGAGGCACTACGAGCTGCTCGTGGCGGATGTCGAGTACATAGAGTCCGGTCAAGTTCCCTTCCCCTATAGGTCCTCTGCAAATTAGCCCCAAGGTAAATCTTCCTACAATGGACCTTACATTTGAAAGCCAGCACACCAATTAGAAATATCTCATTGTCTTAACACTATCCATAAAAGGTACATTTAAATAGCAACTTCCTGGGCTTTTTCTACCCTGTATATACTATATTGTTGTGTGACTAAACCTTTGTTTTGATATGTAGGAAGGATGTTGCATGTCAGCTACGATAAAGATGATCATCAGATAGTATTAATCTATAGAAGAATAGGCCATTAATGATTATCTTATAATTTTTGTTGTCTTCTTTTTTTCTATGATTGTACGAGGAAGATGCACATAATTGTGATCCTTGCTTCTCATCCTCCTTTTTGTTATGAAACTCTCTATTTGGAATAATTAAATAATTATAAAGTTTGATAAAAATAATAATAAAAAAATTTAAGGGTTATATATCCTTTTTTCATTTTCTACTAATAAAACAGCACGTCCAAATTTATTGTTTAATATATTTTTAAAAGTAAATAATATTTATATAATATATGTTATTATTTAATACATTATCGGTAGAGAAAAAATAATTTTACAAACAATATTTAAGAATTAGAAGTATAATTGAATGACATATTTGTCACTATTTTAACCATTCTGGTAGGGGGAAAAATCTATCACCAATCAGGGGTGTATTCAATTCAGTTCGATTTTTTAATAAAAGATGAATTGAACTGTGCTATGCACTTTTTTTAAATTAAAACTGAAACCGAAATCAAATGTCATAAAAACTGAAAATTTAGATTCGGTTTAATTCAGTTTGATTTTGAGATTTTTAACTTTTTACCATTTTCTCAACATCCAAAAAAAAGTAAACTTCAAACTTAAACCGAGTGCAATAACACTAATATAATTCACAAAAATAATATTGTTTATTAGTTTTAAGACTTGATTTATTTAAGTTTGTCTTGTACCAAATTCAAAATGAATTTAATTTAGATCATTACTTTTTTATTTTTTTAAATCCGGTTTTATTTGGAACAAACGAGTTTCATAAGAACAAATTGAAATTGAATCGAATTGTAAAATTATATATCTAAATTGAATTGAAAAAGAAAAACTCGATTAAGATAATTTATTAATAATAATTTATTATATTACAATTTATTCAAATAAAATATTGTATAAAAAAAATAATCCGTATTACATTATTTTTTTAGTATCATTATGACTATCTAATTTATTAGTTGATTGAATAATTTATATTATATTATATCCCTCACACTAGAAAGAAAGAAATAATAAAAGAAGAGAGGATTAAAATCTATTGAACGACCTCAATGGTAAAAGAAAATGCTGTTCTTCTTAAAGGATCTGAGTTCGAGCAGATGCGTCTATACGGTGTATGTACATTGTCAATGACTAAGAAATGTTATGAACAAATACCTTAACTAATATAATTAATTTCTTCAAGCAAGCATGTAAGTGAAATATAATAGAGTAAGTGTGTACTACTAATTTTTTTAATTCAATGTTTGAATTATTTTCGTGTACGAGTTACATGTTTCATGGATTGTGATGAGATAACAACATCTGGAGTCTTAATGAGTTTACCTGAATATAATAAATGACTCTTAAGTGGACATGTAAGAGTTGTTTTCGGTATTGGGTCAAAGTATAATATATTTTAGTGTTTTAAAAGTAAAAATATAAATTTTGTGTAACTATTTTTAATTTGATATTTTAGGGTTTATATTTTTTATTTTTTCTTTAAATTATACCTTTGTTTTTCTTTTGTTTTTAATTTTTAATAATTGTACGTTTATGACATACTTTTCTCTACCTCCATAACACGTCTAATAAATTAATAAATCTCCCATAACATGTTGTTCTTGGTTGTTGAATATTACATTAGTCTATGAAGAAAATCTATTTTGTGTCAAAGATCAGCATAAAGAACAAAGAGACAGTAACCGGCACTCTTGACTTTTATATGCACTTCAACGAGAAGGACACCACAAAGATCAGCATCAAGCACATTAGCATCATTTGGTCCACAATATCTTGAGTTTAGTCTCACTGAATCTTCCAATATTCCAATCAATGTACGAATATCCAATTATATATATAAATTATAATACAGATTTCATATAAATTCCAAATTTATGTATAATCATTTTACCGAACATTGATAAAGTTCATTAGTTGCATGAAAAGAGAGCAGATATCACCATCATACATGCACTTTGGCTGCAATCAACGTAATTACTAATTTATATTCAATTTGCATGGGGATCGTGTCCTGATATACCACACATCTTTGGTCAAATTGTATAAACCCTCCTTACATTTTTTTTTATGGAATTAGTCCCTCTAATCCAATTAAAACAGCTAACAACAATAACTACTTTTTTTTCAAAAAAAAAACTCTGCAACACAAAAAGAATTCCAGGGACAAAGCTGGAAATTCTTTTTGTAGTGAAAAGATAAATTAGATATAATTTATCATTATATTAAAACTTTACAAATTTGGAAGGATTGAATCATAAAGTTATCATAAAGATTGTAATAGAATTAAAGAAATGATATTTTGTTCTTTTGCGGCTGATGCAGAAATGCAATACTGTAGTGGATTCTTTCTGAGTTTTAATTATCCCTTCAGTATAAAGTTGCAGATTCCTGGTTCTGTGGTTGTGGAGGCCATCAGAATCCTGCATTAGAATTTAGAAGTTGCTAAATTAATTCAAAGGAAGAGATTAGATTGAAGGATAATGATTCCACATATGCATGGGTAATTTTCAAACAATCATCACATGAATATGAGCTCCTGCAACTTGATTAGTTTGTTCCATGGCTACGTATTCTTATATACAACCTCATTCTTTTGCAGCAGTCTATGGACTACTTGCAGAGGGGGTAGGACACTATAGGTTGGGGCGAACTCTAACTCATCAACTTGCACACCTTAAAAATTCTGATGCTTTGGGGATTAGACTAGTTATTCCAAACCAGATATTTAACTCTCTCTCACCAGAATTTGTGTCATTTCCTGATTTTGATTTATATTCTAAGTGAAAGATATTAGAGTTAGACCCTTCAATTTACGATACAAACTACACATAATGCTCAACTTATCTGCAGTTATACACAGGAAGAGATGGGGAGTAATACACCCTTTTTTGCACCTTAGGAGATTTTTTTTGGGGTGATATTTAACAAACGGTGGCTTGGACCAATGAAAAATTCTTTGGAATTATAGCAATTTGGTTGAGCCTGCCTAAGATGGAAGTCGGTGAATGAATCTGGATCCTCATCATTGGAGGTACAAACATATGAACTTATTCTCTTGCATTTCATTTTCTTCTTCCTCGTGGTCCTCCAACGATTTCTGTGGTTCCAAAGGAGACAAATCACTTAAATTCTACAAATCCTTTTTGCTAGATTTCTATGCCAACTGATATTATATACCCCTCCACTGCCTATAAAAGAGCAGCCATTCCCAACTCATTTGTTCATATCATCCATTAGGTTGCAGTCCTATTAGCTACCCTTCTCTGCAGCCTATTTCATCACTGATATACAAAAAGAGGGGGGAGAAATGGCATCGACCTCAATGTCCTCCCGTGGGTGTGGTTCATGGACAGCCAAGCAAAACAAAGACTTCGAAAGGGCTTTGGCTGTTTATGACAAGGACACCCCCGACCGATGGTACAACATTGCCAAGGCTGTCGGAGGAAAAACTGCCGATGAAGTTAAGAGGCACTACGAGCTTCTTGTGGCCGATGTCAAGTACATAGAGTCCGGCCAAGTTCCCTTCCGCTATAGAGCCTCTGCAAATTAGCCCCAAGGTAAGTCTTCCTACAATGGACCTTAGGCTCAACTACATATATAAACTTCATTTCCTACTATTAATTTTAACCTTTAATTTTCTTAATCCGGTGGTCCTAAAAAGATGTAAACATTAGGTCTAATTGGATTATATCTGATATATATATTGTTGCGTGACAAAACCTGTGTTTTGATATGCAGAATGTTGCATGTCAGCTGCAATAAAGAAGATCATCGGGTAGTAGCTACTATTAATTTATAGAAGAATCAGTCATTAATGATTATCTTCTAAGTTTTGTTGTTTTCTTATATTCTATGATCGTACGAGGAAGACGCGCATAATTGTGATCCTCGTTTACCCACCTTCTCGTTTTATTGTGGAACTCTCTCTAATTGTCATATATATATATATATGAGAAGTTATTATATAAATTGAAAAATTAAATAATTATATAGTTCGATAAAAAAAATAACCGAAGAATTTTAAGGGTTAATTTCTTCAACTGAAAATACGATAAGAACTAATTCTTTCTCATTCCGAATCTATTCGATAAGGACATTTAATGGATAATACAAATGATTGGATGCCCTAAAAAGGCATCATAGACCGTCTTCACCACTCGAGAATACATAAATCAATCAACATTAATCTTTTGTGTTCATTTTTACTTCAATTTTTTACTACTTTTTTGCCTTCAAAAAGTTGTATCCTTCCTATTTTTTTCGATTTTATATTAACAAAACATGACGTTTAAATTTATTGTTTATAACAATAAATTATTTTTATATATTATTTAGAAGTAAATAATTTTTATATATAATATAAATTATTATTTGATTCATTATCAATAATTAAAGATGCATCAACGGACAACGGATGGAGGAGATCGTCCCTTAAAAATTTTAAATTCTTATATATTATAGATAATTTTTATTTTCTATCAAAAAATTAATTTTCACTTCCGAAAGTGTTATAAATTCATCTATCTTTAAAGTTTTATAAATTCACATCCAGAGATATAATTCTACGTGCGTCCTCGTCAATAATAATTTCACTAACATAACACTAAATCTCATTATAAATATATTTAAAATTTTAGAAAAATAAATAATAAACAATTATTTGAAGCTGCATTACCGATGAAAAAAATGGTTTTCCTCAAACAATAATAGGATCATGACAAGTGTTATTGTAAAGAATTTAGTAAATAAAAACATAAAGAAATAACATATTTATCATCAATTTAACATCGTTTAAAGAGAATTTTCATTATTAATACACCTTAAAATAATTTATAAATAATAAAATATTTAATATTCCAATATTAATTGTAAAATTATTTTTTCTGCCAACAGCATATTAGAAAATAATCCATACTATTATCATATTCTTCAAAGTGGAAAGAAAAAAGATAATGAAAGAGGAGATTATATCATATTGAGCAACCCTCTCTCAATATGCAGGATGAAGTCCATTGGCTCTCTTCCTTGTCCTTCCCTTTCCTATTAGCATCTCCTTAATGAACTCATGTGACGTCCATGAGTGCGATGATTCGTCCAAATCGATAAGTTCAGTTCAATTCGAATTCAAATTGATTGATGAAAATGGATCATCATGCTGAATCGAATTAGCTTAAATAAGAAAAGAAAAACTAACATTCAAAGCTGCAACCCCTTTCATTGGAGTTGGTGAAAACATAATTATACATTTTACTCATTAAATAGCTCAAACGAAATAATACTACAAAATTCCAAATGCCCGGTAAAAAGGGTCAGATTTCAACATAGGCTATTGGGTTTTCAGTCCAAACAAGTTCTCAAATAACTTTGGAGCCATGGGAGGAAGTTTCATGGGCTCAGGTGCCATGAAGTTTACTATCTTCTCTTGGACATGGTACCTGAAAAAAAAACCCGTTATTTAAGACAAAATGTCCAACATTAAGAACTGCACTAATAGATTAACTTGACTCGATAATACAAGGTGCCAATCCAACCACATTTGAGAAAATTACCTGATCTTTCGACTCTTTGATGCACGACGATCAACTATTTTTCTCTTCTTAGTTTGCAGTCTTTTCAAGGCATAGAAGGCTGTCTCTGTGGTCAATCAGCAGTAACGTTGTTTTAAGGAAAATGAAAGGGTTCTTCATAATGCAAGAAAATTTTGAAAGATGGTAGACTGTTTACCAGATGATGTTGGGTCAACGGTCTCAAAAAATTCCTTCAGCAACTGCTGGTAAAATTCAGAATCATCCAGAAGTTCAGGATCACCTTCGGGATGTGCTTCCTGAGCCAACAAACGATTCAAAGATAAAAAAAAATTACAGGAGAAAAGGAGCATAACATATAGATAACAAAAAGCAAAGTTCTCATGACCCGAATCATCATCATTTTGCTTTGGCTAAGTACTGACTATCACTCCTCAGTCCTCACGACTTCACCATCAGTAACTTTATTTTCCTCAGTTTTATCCAAACAAGACCTTTAGAACAAGCTTCTCTTTGTATCCTATAAGTGTATATCTATCCAACTACCCTGAATTTCAAATGCTATGGGCAAAAATCCCATCATGCAGCATACCCATACAGCTTACAATGCATTCTACATGGTAACCTAGAATAAATAAAAAGAAATACATTACCTCTCCATTAGCATTACAATTGGGCACGGTAACCTGATCAATAAAGGTGATTATCAATGGAAGCGGAAAACATAAAAATAAATCATAGTATAGAAGGCACACCAATGTTAATGTTTTAAGTAAATTCAGCTTAAACTAGTCATAAATAAATAACTTACATCTCCAAATATGCCAATTGTGGGCCGTCTTTGTTGCATTTGCTTTATCATTCTAGTTGGATCCCTCATATAGGCTGCCACTTGTTCGCTGATATTCTGGCATAGGAAAAGAAGAGCAAAGAGAGTTTCATTTTACATCAAATAGGGCATGGATTTAATATCAGTGAGTTAGTGTCAGCTAAGGATCAAACCTGATTAAAAGCTTGCAATTTGTTTTTTATTACAGCAGCACCAGTTGTGACTTCTGTCTTTCTCTGCCATTTGTCAACTGCTTTATCTCTGAAAGTGGCTATTCTGCAGGATTCAAGCATTGAAATTTCCAGTTAATTTAAAGTGCTTGTATCAAGAAATATTATTTGCACAAGGAGTGTAATGAGTATAAAAAAAAACTTAGAAGAAAACCAATTTAAATGAAGCATTTTCCAATCTAGCAATTTTGAGGAGAGTATAACAACAATACGTAACTAATGATGGCTTATGCTCTTTTAAGCATAGCATCTCCAGAAATGTTAATATAAAGTTGTCCAATCACAAATCATAGACTTGAAATCATGATCAATCTAGAGCATATCCAATATAGCATAGCACCAGCAAACACTCCAAGAACAAACAATTAAGAAATATTGTGTTTTTAGATGAATGAACAAGTAGTAAAAGTCACTAGAGCAACCACCTCATTGTCTCTACAAGAATCAACTTAGCCAATTAATACTATCATATGAACGTTTCTAATTTAACATGAAATATCAATTGAAATGAGCAACAAAGAAACAGTGATCCAAAGTGTGCTACCTCTTATTCATCTGAGAAATCCGTAGCCACTCTTCGTCGTCTTCCATGTCCAAGTTCTTATAATCTCCAGAAAGTTTCATAGATGATTGACCACCATCACCTTAAGAGTAGGATGAATGGTTAAGATAATGAGAGCGTTGCCAAGATCCATAATATGCAGGCTTAATAATTTGTTTCATGTTTGAATGTTTACGTAATCATCTAGTGAACTAGCACATTTAAAACCATACATTCAGAGAAAAAGAACATAAAAAAACAACCGAAAGGATGCTAGAAGATAAATTGGATAGATCAACAGTCACATATTAAAGAAGGATCCTCTAAGGGTTAAAAGTAAGAGAAGAAAAGAAAATATTCTACAAGGGTTAGTGTAAGATACCAGATTTGGTGCAACATGCAAATTGATACATATTAAAGTACTCACTTACACAGAAAGGGGGTAATAACTTCTTAGATAAAAGATATGTGGTTAAAATCAATGGAGTTTTGGTGTATGTTATTAACTTAAACTAGGCACAGCACAAAACGAGTGAATGAAGCAGTATGTCAAAATCTAACAAGGGAAAAAAAAGCTCACAGCATTTAAATGAATATCAGTATGTTATTAACTTAAACTAGGCACAGCACAAAACGAGTGAATGAAGCAGTATGTCAAAATCTAACAAGGGAAAAAAGCTCACGGCATTTAAATGAATATCAATAAAGTTTCTGTCGAGTGATAGAAGGTATAATAACAAAAGCATTGGTGTCATACCCTCTGAAGATTGAGCAATTAATGGATTTTTATCCAGCAAAGCCTGACAATATGATAAAGATAGTAAGAAAATATGAGAGGAAAAGGAAATTCCATGTAAGGTTAATTATCAAACGCTATATAAGAAGAAGATATTAAGTAGACAGAACGTTTCTTGAGAAAAGCCATACCTCTTGCAGTTCCAATAAAGAATCTAAATTCTTCTTTGATGGAGTAATAAGGTCTGAATATGCAGCATTGACTTCTTCATCTGATGCACAAAATGAAGACCTGACTGGATCCTGGTAGAAGCCCTCATCTAAATGTTAAATGAATAAATAAACAAAACATTCTGATTGAAGAAAGAAAACAAAATACACCATAAACAGAAGAAAGAAAGGTACCTGTGGTAGTCTATTTGAACAGGAGAAGGCTTTCTGAAGCAAGAACCTGAACTCGAGCGTTTTATCCCAGAGAGCCTTGGCAAAATAAGGAGAATATTTGAGAATGTTTGGTAATAACAAGCACAAAAAAACACACACACACACACAGAGGAATATAGCCATGCATATAAAAGGCAAAAATTTTCAACAATAATCATTAAACATATAGGTAATAAGTCAAACATCATTGAAGCCAAGTTCATGTAAATGCTACGAAAGATAATATATATTACCTTCTGGTTCTTCACTGCTTGACCCTTTTTAACATCTTCGTCCTTATGATGCTTGAGATTCCTCAATATATGTCTAATTTAAAAAACAATAGTAAAAAAATAAAACAGTAACCTTGAAGAAAGCAGATTTCAATATTTACCCAAACACAACTCTGTCTATTTGTATTGTAACCAAACTACACCAAATTAAAGATCTCAACTCCTAGAGACCAAATCCGGCCTTCTTTTACCCTAAATCCCCTTAGATCGATCTAGATCTAAGTTTTTTTTACCTTCGACTTTCGGCTTTCCGACGACGCAAGGAGGCTCCGATGACTACGATTTTCTCGGTTAGTTTCTCTCCTCTCTTTTCTTTCAATATTTGGCTGCTGTGGGTGGTTGCTTGCTATTGGTCTTTGTTTCTGTTTTTCTCCGGTTCTTCCTCTCCTTTCATTTTTGCAGGTACGATGGCTTTATAGCCATCTCGGTCGCTTGCTCGGACCGGTTAAAGGAATGGAGTTCGGTGAGTCACCGAGCTATTTGGTGACTCACCCCTAGAGCTTGCGACGTGGGCGACGGGTGTTGAAGCAGCAAAGCTTCTGGAGTCTTCAGCGAGGCGGCGGCGTCGTGGCTGAAGTGGGTTCGAGCATCTGGCAGCTGACCGTCGCCAATGGTCTCTGACAGCTGGAGAGGCGGCTGCGACACTAGGGTTAGAAACCCTAGCTGAAACCCTAAATGTTTAGGGTTTCATTTTGGTCTGGGCCGGTTGATTGGGCCTTCGATTTGGGCCCTTTTATTGGGCTTCTGATGTAATTTGTAATATATATATATATATATATATATATATATATATTTAATAATAATAATATTATATTAAAAATAATATTTATAATAATAATAATAATTTTAATAATAATAAACGAAAAATTAGTGTTTACAGCTGCCCCTCTTTGCTCATTCTTGTGTTAACAAGAATAGAGCAAAGACGAAAAAAACAATAATTTTTTATTTGACTTCTTTTGAGTAAGAGTGAAATGTTGAAAACATCATTCCAGAGGTCTTAAAAACATCATGCACTGAAGGGCTTACAGATGACCCTAAGGCTTTGAAAACATCAAAAAGCTCCCGAAGGCTTTTTGGAAACATCATGCACTGTAGGACTTACAGATGACCCTAAGGCTTTAAAAACATCAAAAAGCTCCCGAAGGCTTTTTGGAAACATCATGCACTGTAGGACTTACAGATGACCCTAAGGCTTTGAAAACATCAAAAAGCTCCCGAAGGCTTTTTGGAAACATCATGCACTGTAGGACTTACAGATGACCCTAAGGATTTGAAAACATCAAAAAGCTCCCGAAGGCTTTTTGGAAACATCATGCACTGCAGGACTTACAGAAGACCCTAAGGCTTTGAAAACATCAAAAAGCTCCCGAAGGCTTTTTGGAAACATCATGTACTGTAGGACTTACAGATGACCCTAAGGCTTTGAAAATATCAAAAAGCTCCCGAAGGCTTTTTGGAAACATCATGCACTGCAGGACTTACAGATGACCCTAAGGCTTTGAAAACATCAAAAAGCTCCCGAAGGCTTTTTGGAAACATCATGCACTGCAAGACTTACAGATGACCCTAAGGCTTTGAAAACATCAAAAAGCTCCCGAAGGCTTTTTGGAAACATCATGCACTGCAGGACTTACAGATGACCCTAAGGCTTTGAAAACATCAAAAAGCTCCCGAAGGTTTTTTGGAAACATCATGCACTGCAGGACTTACAGATGACCCTAAGACTTTAAAAACATCAAAAAGCTCCCGAAGGCTTTTTGGAAACATCATCCACTGCAGGACTTACAGATGACCCTAAGGCTTTGAAAACATCAAAAAGCTCCCGAAGGTTTTTTTGGAAACATCATGCACTGCAGGACTTACAGATGACCCTAAGGCTTTGAAAACATCAAAAAGCTCCCGAAGGCTTTTTGTAAACATCATGCACTGCAGGACTTACAGATGACCCTAAGGCTTTGAAAACATCAAAAAGCTCCCGAAGGCTTTTTGGAAACATCATGCACTGCAGGACTTACAGATGACCCTAAGGCTTTGAAAACATCAAAAAGCTCCCGAAGGCTTTTTGGAAACATCATGCACTGCAGGACTTACAGATATGGGAAATAGTTTACTAAGTAAGGAACTAAGGAAATCGTTTTCTTACTTTTCAACAATTTCATTTTTAGAAAAGATTGAATGAGAAACTATGGAAATCGTTTTCTCATTATTTTTCAAAATAACATGTTGATTGGGTAACATGCCCCAATCTCAAGATAAGGCTATTGGAAATAGTTTACTAAGTAAAAAAAACTAAGAAAATAGTTTTCTTACTTTTCAACAATTTCATTTTAGAAAAGATAAAATGAGAAACTATGAAAATCGTTTTCTCATTCTGTTTTTTGAAATAACATGTTGATTGGGTAACATGCCCCAATCTCAAGATAATGCTTATTTTTGTGGATTACGTTCATCTCTTCTTCAGATGTTTGCATGATTCCTGTATTTGTGGTTTTAAATACCTTCTTCGTGTAAGGTATTTTTTACCATGAATCTTCTTGTTCTTCCGAAGATCTGTAAAACTTCATGTTTGAATGCACTCAGATGTATCAATGTAATGCACTGTCTATTGTGTAAACGATATTCTTATGAATGCATGAATGTTGATGCAATCTTCATTTGACTTCAAAGTGGTGAACTTGGTCTTCCTTCACTTCATCATTTATTGCCAGGGTTACCTCTGGATATCAGTGTAGAAACTTATGCTATCAAGCTTACATTTCTGTAGAATCATCTGATCAACTTGTATCTTTGCGTCTTCTTAACTTCATTTAAGTCTCAGAAGAAATGTTTCATTTGTGGGAAATATTGTTGTAGTCAAAATTATGACCCTGATGCCCCATTTTGTCTTGGATAAAACCAACTTTATTTGCTTGGACTTGTGTAGAAATCCAATAAAGCTTTCATCTTTGAAAAGATAATCTATCATATTTAAAAAGAGAATCTATCATCTTTGAAAAGAGAATCTATCATCTTTGAAGAATGTAGATGTAGATATGCCTAACTCAGCGGGGATTAATTAAGGGAGTAGAGTCTGTTCTGATTTGACTTTTGAAACACATCATAAGGAGAATTTATTTCAATTCCTTTCATGTCCCCATATTTAAATCAGATCTCGAATAAAGCAACTTAGACCATATCATGTCGAGATGCTTAACAACAACATGTCGTTCAACCTTAGTTGGTGCCATTAGTTTCTTGTTGTTAAAATTTTAGCTCTCCTTTTGTGGAAAGAAATCTTCATCATATCTCACTTTTAATCTTGAAGTTGAAGAAGACAGACTTCATCTTGGATCAATAAATAGAAACCATATGATCGCAACATTGGTTCAACATCAGAATAGCAGGTTCGTAAAACATTTGACAACTCATTCATCCTTTCCTGTTGCTTCTGCTCAGATGTTCGTAAGACATTTGACAACACATTCATCCTTTCTTGTGGTTTCTGCTCAGACGTTCGTAAAACATTTTACAACACATTCATCCTTTCTTGTGGCTTCTGCTCAGATTTCTCAATCATTGAAGCTCTTTGCCTAATGTTCAAAGCTTTTCAATGATATCACAAGACAATTTGAGAACAAAACTCAGTGGGGATTCAAGTGTAATGTTGGTATGACCAAAAAGTTGGTCAAATTCACAAAATGTGCTGGTGTATTTTGAATAGGAGATACCAACAAATTTTGATATCATCTCTGGAAAAGGAAAATGTGATACTGATCATGCTTTCTTTCATAATGAGCATTGTATAAAGTAGAAACACTTCAGCTATAGGATCAATATACAAAAAGATATTCATGGAATTCTTGCAGCTGGGGATGAAACACACATGATAAAATCAAAATAGATGAAAACTCAGTTCATCTTGGCTAGCAATGATGATCCCAATAACAACGGGAATAACAGTAATGTAAGTGAGTTGAGTCCCCCTTTCCAATGTTATCAAGCAAAAACCGATGTGAAAAACAGCTTCATAACCTCAACAGTATGGTTGAACCTAACTGACAGGAATCTCAAAGAAATATTTTCAATTACACAAAAAAGGTCAAATTCAGAGTTCGAGGTCTCGAGGAACTGATCCTTGGATCGAATGGTCTAAAAAAGGATCATCTTCTTTATTCATGCAACCATAATGTAGCTTAACAAAGAACACATTGTCATGTGACACATGGTTTAAGAAGATTGGGTATTTGAAACCATACTTACTGAATAAATATTTGTTCAACAACAGGACCCTAATGCAACTTCCTGATGAACGAAGCAATTATGTGTAGTCAGATCGACTATCACTGTTTCACCATTTTCATTCTTCACACCTTTCTGTCTCATTGGAAATATTTGTTCAAGTCAATGATCTTGACACATGATGTTGTGGGTCTTCAGCATGTCCCAATATTGGCTAATACAAGTGTTCAAAATGCATCAACAGTTCTGATTCTGATTGAAATGGGCTTTCAGCATGCCCCAACATTTTGCTGATAAATATTTAGAATATTTCAACATTTCTGATTCTGATTGAAAAGGGTTTTTAGCATGCCCCAACATTTGCTTCTTGTTAATCTGAGCCTTCAAAATATCCCACATGGATCTGTCTGAAGGAACCTTTAAAATACCCCAACAATTGCTGATACAGATGTTAGAAGTATGTTCAACATTACTTCTTGTTGAGATGAGCCTTCAAAAATGCCCAAATATTCATACTGACGCGAGCCTTTAAAATGCCCCAATATTCTATTTCTGTTTGAAATGGGCTTTCAAGATGCCTCAATATTCTGCTTCTGATTCACTCTCAATGTCTGTTTGACTGAAATGTCATGATCCCCACGAGGTCCAATCTTGACAATGCATTGTTATGGGTACATGTGGATTTATTCGTGCCCTAAATCTGTTTATCTTGAATGCTCTCATTATGGTGTCACTATACAGCAGTATTGTCAAGTAATTGGAGGAATTCTCTTCACGTTGTCACAGAATTAAGAAACAATCAATCATTTTGAC